GGGGGGGGGGGGGGTTCCTCCCCACCCCTGTGGTTTTTAAATTTTTTGGGGGGGAAAAAAAAAAAGGGGGGGGGGTTGCCCCCCGGGGGAAACCGGGGGCATGGGTTAATTTTTTTTTTGAGGATTTTTGGTTTTTTTTTTTTAAAAAAGGGGGGGGGCCCCCCCCTTTTTTTTTTTGGTCCCCCCCCGTGGGGGCCCCCCGGGTTTTTTTTTTTGGGGTTGAAATTTTTTTGGGGGGGGGGTTTTAATGTAAACTTGGGGTTTTTTTTCCCCCCCGCCCCGGGGGGGTTCCTTTTTTTTTTCAAGGTTTTTCCCTTCCGGGTCCCCCCCCCCCCCCCCCCCGCATGTTTCTTCAGGGACGACGACGCCTTCGAAGGCAAACGGCGCCGGAAACGGTTCGGGGAGCGATTCCGGGGTGCGAAGACGGCAGAAGAAGGCGCCCGTGTCTGGTCATGAAGATTGAGTCTTGTTGATACTACGTACGGTAGCGGTTGTGTGTGGGAGCTAATGGTTAGTCAAGTTGGTGGTGGCGATGCGGGGGTCTGGCGTTTGAGCTAATCCTGGATGTGAGTTGGAGTTTCAGTGGACATCGTTAGAGTATGTTGATTTTCTTCTGCTGTGACGGGTGTATGTGTAGCTTTTTCTGTTGAGAGGTTCGGCAGGGCAGACCGTTTTTTGTACGGAAGAACCCACCAGGCAGTTTGACGAAAAAATAAAATAAGGGAAAATGTCGTAAAGATGCATCATCGGCATTTGTATATGCAAGTTTAACAAACATTCGGTTGTGAACTTGTTGAGACTGGTTGTCTGTGTTTGCTTTGTTGGGATGCCGACGGTCTTGTCTCGATCTAGTTTCGTTTAGGCGGAATTATAATCGACAACGACGTTGACCTTAGTAGCACCACCTGCAAGCAAAGGACGACAAGGCTTGATTGATCTCAAGACGGCTGTTTTTTTCTGCTTTTTTGACGGGGACAGCAGTCGTCACTTCTTTTTTTCCGTCATCATAACCGGAGTTTATTATTCATGATCATCACCGGTGTGTCACTTGTATTGTCTGGTCACGGGCCGCTCTGGCTGTACTTACTGATGGGGAGATGAGATGGAAGTCTTTGTTTGCTACGTAGTTCATTCGTAGTATTTCCTTTTTTCTTTTTGGTTGACGTTCCCTTCCCTACACCCAGCCAGATGGAATACATCCAGACGTTGCTGCACGCGGACATTGCATGTGAAAAATGATGACACATTTATTTTCAATTTTTGTTCATCGCTCTGAATCATCCATCAGCTCACACACACACACAGGGCATTTCTGCCGGTCAGGAGGTAGTAGGTCCAATCCGTGGTCCGTCACACAGAAGGGTTAGGGCTCCTCTCCCTGAGGCGTCCTACCCACCCCACCCCTCCTGCGCTGATTGCCTTCCATTTTGACGCGAGAAGAGTTCCACCCCGTAGGGTATATGCACATCATCAATAATAGCGCTTTCCACTACCATGAACGGAAGCGAGAGAAAAACTTCACTTTGCAAGAAAAAAAAAGAAGCGTTCCCACGGATTCGAACTAATGACTCTGGGTGCCAGAAGGTTGCGAGGATAAGACCAACCAGACTACCCCACCGGGGCATGCCCTAATTAGTCTATAGCCAGAGTCAGTCGTGTTGAGGCCCGACCTGCTCCTTCTTGTTGGATGTATGTGATCGGAGCCGAGCATATTATTTTTAGAGCTGAACTACCTCCTCGGAGAAGGTGTTTCGCGGGTGGGTGCGCAATCGCGAGTGTATGTGTGCGTGGGCGAGTGAGTGCGCACTCATCATGAGAGAACGGAGCACACAACAACACCAGCCGACTGAGCAGCAGGGTGGGGTCGGTCGGTTGCCATAGCCAACGCGCCCGCCCGTCCGTGTCGACGCGGCAGTTTCCCTTTTTTTTTTCGCCTTCACGTTGGCAGCAGTGTGAAGAAAAAGCATGTCCGTCCAAGGAAACTACCAATAATCAATAATTAATTTTGTACGAAGAGCAATTCTTCCCGCTCGTGTCGCTCGCTCCCTGCTGATGAGCAAAATCAAGCCGATTACCTACTACTTTGATCCATCTGGCAAGCACAGCGCTGATCACAGCGAGCGACGACAACTGGGGGGACGTACGTGTTCGTTCGTGGCTTGAAAGAAAGCTTGACGGACTCGGGCATAAACTTTTTTTGTTGAGAAGCACGATGCCCACTAGATAGATAGATAGATAGATAGTAGATAATAGATAGACCACTATTATTATTATTATTATTAATAGTCAGCGCTGACTACTATATATAGTAGTAGTCTACAACAGTAGTCATATCGTGGTCATCGTGTTTCCCAGCACAAAGAAAGGTAAGCCACCCAATTAAACTACCCTTTTTTTCTTTTATCCCACGGGAATGGGAAGTTGACACTTTTTTTACAGAAGGAAGCCAGAGCACTCACCACTCGCTGTTCTTTTTCCCATTGGGGAAGGAAGTCTATTCAAGGCGCGTTTTACATTATTATTATTTGAACTTGGGACGAACGAACCCGACAAACTCTCCCCCACAACAAAATACGCACACACACACTTACTTCTTTCTGACTTTCTCGCCCCCGTCCGCAACCGGTACGACTCATTTCCCCTCGTTCCAAACCCATGCCGCATGCCAGGGCCCGACCACCGCAACAAACAACAAACAGACACACATACATATGCGTACTAATCGCGCAACGTATAAACTTTTCACCCTCAACCTACTTTTTTAATGAAGATATACCAACTCGTGACGTACCCACAACCAAATGATACTCCCTTGAATGTTGTCGCCTTCACATTATAATACCTAAACAAAATAATACCGCACGCTTGTCCATAAATAAATAAGAAGTACGTACGTACTACGTGTTCTCCGTTAAAACTTAATGATCATAATAATAATCGTGGCCAACCAAACAAACTTGTTACATGTGTGACGTATAGTATGTAGTACATATTCACTCATGGACGCGTGTGATGCATACCATCATAGATAACGAGTTCCTGATGCTACTTAACTCTAGGCGGTAAGGACGACGACACCAGGCCATCTGTCTAACGACTACATGTTCTGGAGCAACCGCGGCTAATATTATGATCAACTCATGATGGGATAGTACTGCTGCTATCCATAAGGCACCACGCAAGCAACCACGAAAGAAACCAATTCTTCGGGATGGAAATAACCACCACGAAAGAAGCCAATTTCCAACTACATACTGGACGTTCCTACCTACATGGATGGATGGGCGGAAAGCAATCAACCATCATCACCGCACACTCGCAACTCCTTAAATCCAGTTATTATCAACGTTCGTTCTTATTGGAGGTAATAGACTACACTTACACTTACACAAAGGGCGGGTCGATGTAAGGTCTAGGTCGACGTATGTATGTAAAAACGGAATAATACAGGGGAGAACCACCACACAACACACCATGAACGGCCCCCTCTCTCCCCCCCCCCCACCGTACCCGTTCACGAAATCTGCAAAACTGTCGTGCCTGAGGCATATCCACATTGTTCTTTCCCAAGGGAAGAAATAACCCTCCTCCCCCGCTCATCCCGGGCGTTATCGATCCAGACCCAGACAGACGCGGCTGCTGGTCTTCTGGTGTGTGTACGAAAAGGCGTGCGTGCAGTCGGATGGTACGAGTGCAAAACAACGCGCACGGGGACCCCGCCAACAAACCAAAACCAACTTTCATCGAGCTCTGCCTGCCGCGCCCCCCCTGTCTGGGCCGGCCACCCACAGAGACAGGCACCAGCAGAAACACCAGGAGGAAGCAGGAAGAATGAACAATAAGCAAGATGTCATTCTCTCTCCTCTACTGCTGTCGATGTAGATGTATGTATGTAAGCGGTCTAAACAAGTCGGATACAACCCCACCGGCCAAACCACAAACATTCATCGGCCGAATCACACGTCTAAAGCAGAAGAAGAGCCCTTCCTTCCCTTTCCTCCCCTCACGGACAGGGGATGGAGCTGCTACGATCTGGTTTTCTTCGAAACGGCTTCTTTCCGTGAAGAGGCGTTTTCCCATCAAACTTCGATCGAGCGGGAGCGCTTGTTTCCTGCACTAAAAAAATGTGCAAGGAAAACTTACTGCCCACCGGTATACAGGATAACCACTGCCCCCCCGTCCCCGTCCCCAAAAAGGGTGCAGCAGGATAACTAGACGCCGCAGAAGAAACCCTCCTCGTACTCGTAGCCGAAGTCGTAAGAGTACGACAGCGTCGACGACCAAGACCCGTCCCCGTCTCCCCCTCCCGCCTCGCCGGCCACGTAGTCCATATCGCTTTCCGGGTCGAAGCACGAGCCGTCCTCCAGCTTGAACTCGTGCACGTCGGGGACGCTGTTGCCGTACCACAGCGTGTTGAAGGAGTCCACGAACCGGGACTCTCTGCCGAAGATGGTGTTCCCCTGCGGCCAGGCGGTTTTGGTGGAAGGGAGGTGGACGAGACGGGGTTGTGGGGAGGGATGGCTAGATGGTAGTTACTCGGAAGGTGCGCAGGTTGGCCATTAGAGGTGCTACGCGATATACGGAAAACTGAAATGAACTCGTCCCCAAGACCCAAGCGTCAACGCAAAAGAATAATCTCACCACTCCCACCAAACATGAGTATCTACCGCAGGTATAGTCTGTCGATCACCGCGATGATGTTGTACAACGATGTAGCACGAAAACAATGGTAGCTAATGAACATACATGTAGCACGAAAAGATCTGCAGCAGTAGCTAGCAGCGGCAATCAAGCAATCACCTCGATGATGTTGTCGTCGGCGTTCCGGGCCATGACGACGGCGTTGTCGCTCATGAGGCTGTTGTCGAAGACGCGGTTGTTCCTCGGCCTGCCGTCGGACCCTTCCACGGCTGGCGTGTCGTTACCCCGGTAGAGGTAGATGGCGTACCTCTCGTCCTCGCCGTTGATGACGATGTGGTTCTCGAAGGCCAGGTTGTTGGCGGAGCCCATGGACATGCGGATTCCGTCTTTGTGCGGTTGCAAGCAGAAAAAGACGGAGGAGCCAAAAAGGCGGCAAGCAAGGGGAAGGAGAAGGAGGGAAGGGAGAGAAACGTGAGATTCAAGTAGTAAGCGGATCGGACCTCAAAATCATACAAACACACACGATGGTAAATCCAACATTATTTCCCAGTTATTCTAAGAACAGAAAGTTGTGTACGTACGTACGACCACCGCAGGAAACTTCGTTTCTAAATGTTCGAAGCACAAGCCATGTGCAAGCCATCCCCCCCCCGCCCACAAACCACTACCACGACTCCCTCCCGTACATACCAAAAACCCAACCACATAATAACCCGAATCTCACTCTTGTTCCTGGAGAGGTTGTTCTGGGAGATCTCGCAGTTGGAGCTCTCGTACACGGCCACGCCCGAGTCCATGTTGTTCTCCACCACGTTGCCCCTGACGGTGGCGTAGTCGCAGCTGCGGTGGAGCATGATGCCGTTTCCGGTAATCTTCCCGGCGTCGGTGACGTGGCCGTTGTCGTAGACGTGGTTGTTCTCGATGGTGACGTGGTCGCACCTCTTCGAGGCGACTGGAAGAAACGTGCGAGAATCACACGAGAAAGGAGAATTGGGGTGGGGAAGGAAGGCAGGCAGGCAGGCAGGCAGGCAGGCGGAAGGGATAAATATATGTGTTAGAGCGGAACGGTTACATGCGTCATAGTTAGAACAGGGGTCTTCAAAAACATATATGTGTGTGTTAGAGCGGAAAGGTCACGTCATAATATAGAACAGGCGTCTTCAAACGCAGCAGAATCGTGATAATCGCGAGAACTTTCTTTGGTGGTACATGCTACATCCGAGAGAGAGGTTTGGGGTGGGTGGGGAATGAATGTAGCAAGGCGTAAGGGATATCATATTGAACGTGCGAGGATAGACTATATTGCAGAGCAGGGATCTTCAGGTGCCGAACAATCGTGGTGGAAATTGTTTCTTGGTCGAATCGTGAGGATTTTTTTTCGTCATCAACATCAAAACATGCGGGGCGGTGCTCCGGTGCTCCCTCCGTCAAGCACTTGGAAGTCAAACAACGTTGTTGCGAACTCACTGATTCCGTGCCAGCCGTTGTTGTAGACTTCGTTGTTGCTGATGGTGACGTAGTCAGAGTCGTCGTGAGGGTCAAATCCGTAGCCGACGTTGTCGTGCACCTAACGAAAAAGTGACGAAAAAAAACGGAGTAAAGAAAGCGTTACGGTACGGTTCTGGGAGAAAACAAGATATATAGTAACACGGGTACACAACTGCGATGATACCTGCCGAAGACACATGACTTGTTGGATGGCTACGTGTGTAAATCCTGGCCCGTCCATGGAAAACGCTACTTTTGTGGCCATTTCTACCAGTGAAGTGAGACGTCGTCCTAAACACACGATAAAACTACATCGTGAGAAAATATATTCACGAAAGGAAACCACCCACCGTGTTGTAGCTCCAGTTGCCCCCCTGGTGCCCGTAGGAGTAGTGGCCGAAGTAGAGGTGGTGTATGTGCGAGCCGAGGATGTCTCCCGTCACGCCGACCGTTTCGAACAGCTCCGGGTTGGAGAGGTCATTGCAAAAACCGCGGACCTTGTAGGCGATGCCGTAGCTCTCCGATTCGTAGTGTCCGAGGTCTATAATAGCAGATTCGTTTTGATGGAGAGGAAGCGCGTTGGGGGTGGGTGGGGGACACAGGAGAGGGCGAATTGAACAGAACAACTATCAGCCGATGACGACGAGGCTTCCAAAGAATCATATTCACTGGACTGGAGATAGATGGTGAATTGGGCAGAACAAACAGACGATGACCACAAAGGTCTGCAGAATCGAATCAAGCGCGAGGATAATATGCTCGTGGCATGTACGTAGCTCACGTAGCTCCAGTGGAGTGCCCGGAACAAAGAAGACAAGGGCGACAAGGTCTGCTGCAATGCCAGCACTATTATATTATTATTATTGTGTTCTGAGAACAAAACATACTACCACATACTACTCGTCGAGTACCCTCTGTGCAAACAATCAAGTAACGAGCGCTACCGACTGTATTTTTTTGCGTGGCCCACTCACGGTTGATCTCCGAGTCAATGATGTCCATCCTAGCCTCCCCCATGTCATTGGTCGCCATCCCCTCGCACTCCATCGCCGGATTGATGATGACCTCGCTGATCGCGCTAAGGTAGCTGTGTCGCCGTGCGGTGGTGGTGGTAACGCATTTTTTTTTTACATGGTGGGTGAAGGAAGAAAAGTAAAAAAATGGAACGCGGTTAGTCGCTGGAGGAGAGAGATACACTCCTTAAAATGGCGGCAGTCGGGACTATTTTTGAGATGATTCAGGCAGAGCTGGTGGATCAACGAGTCCATTGCCACTTTCTACGCTTGGCGGTGTGTTTTTTATTTTTCACGAAACAAATGTTTTTTTTTTTTCTTGGGCTTCTCGCTCTACGACGTAGCATCACTGGAGGAGAACAAGTCTGCTACAATGGTGGCGACATCCAGAAGTGAGACAAGACTGCACCCGCAGCACAACTAATTGAGGCAAAGAAAGATAGACAAGCGCAGAACGAAAGGCAAGAATGGAGATGTACGATACGGCTGTCAACGCACCTTCGGCCGTCGTCGTAGTTCTCGTCGACCGTCCCCTCGAGCAAGTCCCACGACTCCACGTGGGTGCCGTCGAGCATGATCTCGCCGCCGTACGCCCGGACGTTGATGAACTTCTCCGCGGACGAGGCCAGCAGGAGGTGGTCGCAGTCCCCGCCCTTGCTCAACCCTGGATTGATCGGACGGGGGAGGACAAGAGGCGCAAGACTACACAAAGTTGCACAGCTGCTTTCATCGCATGCATAGGGCTTTCTTTCATCGCACGCATAGGATGTGGTATGGAAAACAAAGCTGAAGGTGGAGCTCACCCGTAAGAGAGCCACGACCGGGGGAATGGGAAAGAACGAGAAGAAAAGCGGATGAAGATTTGTAGCATTGGTTTCGGACGAGAGTATTCTTTTTGAGAGGGCGACGACGGGTAGACCTACATTAGCCACATACTTGCGGGTGGTTAGAAAGAATAGCAGTTTGGCTGCATTGTTTTAACTGTAAAAGGTGATGTAAAACTCGGCCTGCCTCACAACTTGTGAACGATACATTCAGCAGGAAACACCCCAACCATTGTTTACATGTCACAGCCGGCACAACGGATGAGAATATATATGAGAATGATATACTGTAGGCGTCGGCATACAGACCGGCAACACGTGGAAGACAGGTATATTTTTAGTAATGTATCGTTTCCCTCTCCCTTGTCCAGCAGCACTGCTTGGCCAACGAATTAAAATTTCCCGTCTCTCTCCCGCAGCACTCGACTTGACTCACCCTGCACCACGAGTCTCGCGCCCTCGGTGACGTAGAGGCTGGATCCGAGGTACCAGGACCCCGTGACGTTGTTCGTGATCCCCCCGGTGGTCTCGTCGAACGGATAGACGGGACCCTTGTTTTCGCCCGTGTACGTGTCGATGCGGGACTCGTAGATGTCGGTCATGGTTGCGCAGGCCCCGTTTTCCAAGTACCTGTTCAGGTAGACGACGGAGAGGTGGCGTAGCGTGAACGAGTCGTGCGTCGCAAAATCTTTTGGTGTAGTCCACGCAGCCAAGTAGGTCCAACCGTCACCCGTATTTATGGACTTCGGAATTTGTAAGCGCCTGGGAGTGGGACTGCAAGTCGGTGTTGTTACTCCGGGGTATAGAAGTACTTGCTGCCTGCAGCAGTGCCCATCCACCCACAACAACATCCATACACAACACCAATATTGTAGGTGGATGTGTAGACAACTCCCTGACTAACGGTGAACAGCAATCAACGTTGAGGAAGTTCGGACCTTGGAAGATAGAAACAACACCGAACGGCAGGTTCAGCAGCAGCAGCGGCAACAGCAGTGCAGCATCCTCATGTTTTGCATCCATACGAAGTCTCTCCGCGGTGTCCACACTCACAATCTGTCGGACATTGTGCTCCATCGGATGTAGTCCGTGATGTTGTGGTTCACCAGGTCCATTGGGGGGCAGTTTGTTGCAACCGTCGTCGCAGCCGCGGATCGCGTGTTGCCCAAAGCCGCTGCCACAAGCACTGCCACGATCTTTTTTGCGGCCGCGCCGTTTGGTCTTCCCCCTTCTACTCGCACCATCTTTGAGAATATCTGCTGCTGCGGTAGTGTGTGTTGCGTTCCAACTGCACCGTGTGCTCAGCAGCGGCTGTGTGTGGAGGAGCGAGCGTGGTTGCGGCAGAAGGCTGGGAGGAGAGGAGAATTTGTGGGCGGAGATGGGGTTGTGAGGGAAAACGAACCGAGGAGTTGAGACCCGCGCAAACCGTTCGTAGCGCGGACCGTCGAAAAAAATAACTCGAACTTCCTCTCATCAACAACACGAAAAAACAAATCAAAGGAGACCACCATATCCACGTTCGGCACGGGCCGGTTTGCCCCCGCATCAGGGAGAGGAGCGATCTAAACTCCGTGCGTTCTGGAGAGAACCAGTAGCATCCCTCACAGAGGAGAGTGCGTCGTTGTACCTTCGGGCCTGTTGCGAACGGTATGTAACTGCAGCAGCGGCGACTAAGAATTACTTGTTCCGGCGGAGGAAAAAAAATGGTAGAAAATTCTCCGCAAAAAAAAAAAAAGAGCAAGCTGCGGCGAAAGAAAATGCGGCGTGACCCTGAGTTTCAAATCTGGATCGACAACCCTGAAAAAATGTTTTTCGAAAAGGTTCAATCGTCTTTTGCCCTCTCCCGATACAAGCGGACGCGCGGCCCTCTCCTCCTCACTACCATCTCCTCCTCTCCTCTACACTTCAAGAGCATCTTGCCTAGCATCGTTGGTTGGCTGATCATCTGATTGCAGCATACATCGGTCCCAAGCACATCAAAACAACTCATCGACTGCTAGACTACATACAGTGTTATCTGGGTCGACAGCAAGGCAGCTCCATCCAACAACAGCAAGGGGACTACAGCAGGACAGCAAGCAGTACTTCCGCAAGAGCGATGGCGCGAGCAGCTGGGAGATCGAACATGGGCAGTGGCGGCGTGGCTACGGCTGCGGCGGCAGCGCTTGGGGCGGTGGCTCTAGCCGTGGCTATGGCGGGGCGATCGGCTTCGGCGGCAGAGACAACATCATCATCGGCACAGACAACATCATCGGCGGCAGCGACAACGTCAGACTGTACCTCGATGGATCTGGTGAATCACAACATCACCGACTACATCCGCTGGAGCAACATGAGCGACAGATTGTGAGTGTGGGGAGGGAGCGCAGCAGCGCTTGTTCGCTTCTATGTGTAGATTCTTGCCAGCGAAGCTGTGTTGTTACGTGTATGTAGGGCCTACGAGCAACATGCACAAACTACAAACAACACGCAGCAACGAGATAGACCGCAAGGTTTGCCGAAGAAAATAACCGTCAACCGGTAGCTACAGGGTACCCAACGGACGGACGGCGGCGTTGAGCTACAGCTGCCGCGCATCAGCACCACTGCTGTGTGCACCACTGCTGTGTTGTGAGCATAGCAATGGCGAGGGAAACTTGCTTCCAACCTTTCATTTCAACTTGCATTGCTTTGCCTCCACAGCAGTACCCCAACCGCTGATGCAATGTTTTGATGCAGCTCCTTTTTTTTCGTTCAACAAGCAACGAGGCAAGCAGCAACTTGTTGTTACCCTTTTCAGCAGCAGCAGCATCATTGTTACGCTATCCAGCCGCAGCATCATGTCGCTTGCTGTGTCCTTCTCCGATGTCGTGCGGAAGGTCGAAGACTCTCGTATACACACGACACACACACATGCCAGACCGTGCTAGTTGTCGCGTGCTTGGATGACCTCTCTATTTAGACACATCAGCAACAGAGGCACTTGTGCGGGGGGATTAGAGCCCATCCTTTTCTTCGTGGGTGGATCATTCACCGTACAGTAACACCAACACCGTGGAACCTGTAGTACACAGGGTGGATGGATGATTGTTACCGATCTTTACCGCTCCAATCTTCTTGGTTATTTATTTCGTAACGTGTGGTACGTAATTCCACATCTATCTGTCCCTACGTATCATACCACGCTGACAACTTGCGTACGCGTGATGCTCGCACAACTCACCCACCACGCTTACAACCTTCTTCTTCCCCCTCCCCCCTCCGTACCCGCCGCCCGTTCGTCAAGATACTTGGAAAATGGAGCCTGTGTAACCTTGACCGATATCTACGAGTCCAGATTGGACGACACGGGGAACAAGGGTCCGCTCTACCCTTTCGACGAGACCACTTTGGACATTTCTGACACTGTCACGGGCTCCTGGTACCTGGAGTCCACCCTCTACATTACGGAGGGCTCGAGGCTTGTGGTGCAGGGTGAGTGACGACACAAACACCGCCTGTCTGTCTTGTGTGTTTATTGTGGCAGCAGAGAAGAACGAGGGCGATAAATTCCTATTGTACGCATCCATCGTTGGCAGTCTTGATTTGAATGCATACGTGTACTTGACCAAATGTTCACAATCAATCCTTTCCGTGTCATCCCGTCACTCCTCCTCTTCCCTCCATCCGATCGATCCAGGGTTGAGCAAGGGCGGGGACTGCGACCACCTCCTGCTGGCCTCGTCTCCAGAGAAGTTCATCAACTTACGGGCGCACGGCGGCGAGCTCATGCTCGACGGCACACACGTGGAATCGTGGGACTTGGCGGCAGGGACCGTCGACGAGAACAACGAGGACGGCCGAAGGTGCGTCTTGGTCTTCTTTCTTCCGTCTTCGTAGATTAGATTGATGCCATGTTCAGTGCGACCACTACCCCCATACCTCCGTAAGACCATCCATAGTGTGACCCATCTACCCAATTCTACTCCATAATACCTTCTACCGAATACCTACCTTAACATGTGATGTGGCTTTGCGTTGAGGGCTCTGGTTGTTGTATGCCAGACCAGCAGAGGAGACAAAAAAACGAGCTGATACGTTCGTGCAAGTATAGTGCCGTATGGTGTAGGCTGACTGGACGCCAGCAAAGAGTTTACTGACTTGCCACGCTTTGTCCGTTTCTGCGACACAACCAACAGCTACCTGAGCGCGATTAGCGAGGTCATCACGGACCCAGCGGAAACCTGCGACGGCACGGCGAAGAACGACATGGGGGAGGCTAGGATGGACATCATCGACTCGGAAGTCAACCGTGAGTGGGAGGGAAGGGAAGGGAGGGGAAGGGGAGGAAAGGGAAGGGAAGGGAAGGGAAGGGCGTCGTCTGTCTGGCTCTTGTGGTGCGACACATTTATCCATTTTTGCTTTGGCTCTTGGTGCGACTGATTGGTTCCTTCCGTAGTTCGTTGGGTGATCGATCTTATCTGTTGTGAAGAAAGCATGTGCTTCACAGATGAGAGAGATAAAGCGTCCCGTGATATTTCTGTTGAACGGGGAGGCAAATCGTACAACGAAGCCTTTCCGAGACCGAACCCGTCCACACCCGAAGGCACAACACAAACAAGCCCGCCTTAACCCTCCCTCCTCACTCTCCCCTCCCTTACTTTTTCTCGCTTGCCATGCAATAAATAATACAAAACAAACAGACCTCGGGTGGTATGACTCTGAGAGCTACGGCATCGCCTACAAGGTCCGGGGCTTCTGCAAGGACCTCTCCAACCCGGAGCTGTTCGACTCTGTGTCCGTGACCGGAGACATCCTCGGCTCCGACATCCACGACAACTACTTCGGCCACTACTCCTACGGGCACCAGGGGGGCAACTGGAGCCACAACAAGGTGGGTGCTGCTTTTAAGCTATATAATGTACTTCGTTACCTTTTCTTACGGTTTTAATTTTTAACCAGTCATCGGCAGCATGCATGTCATCGGCAGCATGCATGTATCTCTCGCTGTGTACTACCTCGATTTGCCACCACTCTCCTCTTGTGCCGTCGTCTCTTGTTCCTGCTCTTCTCGCGTTACACGTGCGTGCGTTAACCAATCACCGTGCTTGCTTGGTTTTGTTTTTTGTTGTTCCAGATGCACCACAACATCGGCTACGGTTTCGACCCGCACGACGACTCTGACTACATCACCATCCACAACAACGAGGTCTACAACAACGGCTGGCACGGAATCAGTGAGTTATTTGCACTTGCCTGTAGCCACGAGTATCCACGACGAGCGAGAGTTATTTGCGCCTACTTTCCGTAGCTAATAGTTGTTGGGGGACGTGGGAAGGATAATACTAGTACTAGTTGGATTTTTCTAACTCCCATCCCTAAAACACCCAGGTCTTCCCAGAGCATAATCAGATCGTTTTTAGACGTCTGTAGGCGGTGGGCAGAAAAATCAAGGAAGGACTCAATCAACCCACCCCCCCCCACCAATGAAAATGAAAATGAAACCCGAACTGAAAACGAACGAACCTACCTAACCTATTGCCCTTTCTCCCCACCCCGTGCTTTCTTTTTCAGTCGCCTCGAAGAGGTGCGATCACGTCAGCATCCAGAACAACCACGTGCACGACAACGGCCACATCAACGAGGCCGGCCAGCGCACGGGCAACGGCATCATGCTCCACCGCAGCTCTGACTACGGCACGGTTAAGAACAACGTCATCCACGACAACATGGACTCGGGCGTTGCCCTGTACGAGAGCTCGTACTGCGCGGTCTCGGACAACAAGATCTACGGCAACAAGAGTGAGTCTTATTTTGGTTCCGTCTATGTTCGATGTTCGGAGATACCGCTCGCTGCTGCAGACATTTTTTATTTGTACGTCATGTTTCTTGCCCTTTTGTATAATAATGCTTGCACTCAAACCCTCCCCACAATCCCCCACTTTGTTGTCCTGTTCTTACTATATTTCTTCCTTCGTTCCCTTCCCAGACGGCATCCGTATGTCGCTGGGCTCCTCCGACAACCTCTTGTACGAGAACGACATCATCATCAACGGTCCCGATGCTAAGTACGCCATCTACCTCTACCAGGGCAACGACATCCCAGACGTCTCCGACGGCAGGCCGAGGAACAACCACATCTTCGACAACAGCCTCGTCAGCGACAACGAGGTGGTGAAGATGCTCAACTCCGACGACACCGCTTTCGAGGTGAGTTGTTTTTTTCGTTTTTTTCTTTCTCCCGCGTTGTCTGTTTGTTGTGTTTTTTTTGTCGTTCCTTTCAATTGTTTCCAAAGTTTCCCAAGCATGATCTTTATGAGCAAATAGTGTGTGTTTCGTTGTGGTATACCCCGGGGTAACATGTGCCCCACCACACCACGAACCGTTGAGGCAAACAAATTCTAAGCCCCCACCCCCCCAACCCACCCACCCCACCCCAGGGCAACGTGGTCTACGGCAGAGTGTCCCGGTTCAAGGACTCGTTCAACACCCTCTGGAAGAGCAACTTTGTGGAGGACGGCATCCACGACTACAAGCTCGAGCTCAACTCTTGCTTCGACCCGGAGAGCGACATCGAGGAGCCCGACACGTACGAGGATGTAGCGGCCATGGAGGAGGAAGAGGCGACCACCTACTCTTACTCGTACTCGTACGATTTCGACGTCTCTGAGAGCGGTTTCTTCTGTGCATGATGACAGCGGTTTCTTCTGTGTATGATGATGATCCATCATCATGAGTTAGGGCAGAGGACATCAGAGTTATGCCGTGCTTCTGTTCTTTTTTATGAAGCATGGCATTCCGAAGAGAGTAGAAAAAGCGGCTAATAGAAGGGGGAAAACAATCTTGGTTTTGTTTTTTTTTCCTTGCGGTCATATGTAGCTGCTGCAAGCAACCCTTCCGTTTTTTATCGTCTTGGCGAAGACGAGGGGGTGTAGTAGCCGTTCACCCATGTATCTAATAACCCTAAGCGTTGTCCGTCGTGTTGTCTGCTAATTGTGTGTTTTTTGTGTGTGTGCGTTGGGGAGAAGGGGTAATTATCTGCCCTTGTCCCATCGTCCCACGCTGCTCCTTCTTCCTGTTGCATGGTTGGTTCCTGTTTCGTCTTGAGTCCTCTACCGTTCGTTGTTGCGTACGTCTATTATTTACTGGTTCGCGGTTTGCGTGTGTGTGCGGTTTTCGTCTTGTGGTGATCCCGTATTATTGGTGGTGATCCCGTAATATACATGCTGGGTGGGGTGATGGTGGTAGCGGTGGAAGTGAAAACAGGGGAGGAGGAGATTGCCGGAGGGGGCAGGAGATAGATTTCATTTTTTCCTTTGGGAACGAAATGCCCACAATTTTGATTCCAGCTAAGTTAGTCGTTGCTCGTGCAGTCAAAATCAAAGTTAGGAACAAAAAAATCGAATAAAAGTGGGATTGATTCTGTTTCCTTTCTACTTGTCTGCTAATCACCCCCCCACGCTCCACTCGGGGTAGGCATAGGGGAGGCCGGTGTCCCCCCCTTTCTGTTAGCTTTTGTGGGTTTTTTGTGATTTTTGTGGATGGTTGGTTGAAATCGTGATTGTTTTTCGTGTGTGGCACCCATGCAAATTTTAAAAGACTTTATAAACAAACGTCGAGTTGCTTTGATGATTTATTTCGCGACAAGAGATCGCCGGGGCGGGGGGGAGATACATATGTACGCGTGGGATGTTGCATTCGTCAGCCCCGCTACTAATAAATCAGTGACGCGCGTATGTATGTATGTGATTGTGAATGAATGTGACCAATCCCTCCGGTGTTTCGCGTCGAAACGTAAAACAAAATAATAATAAAACTCGACACAACAAACAAGGGTGTTTGTTTTTGTCCAAGACTCTAGTGGTTGACCAGTCGGTGCCATCCGTCACTCGGTGCGATCGCGTTTTTCTGCTGCCGCTCCTGCCCGAGCTGAGCCGAAAGTAGAACTCGCTGGTTGGTCGGATCGACAGACACCGTGCACGCTCGCTCGCTCTCGCCCTTGGCATACGAGCAACAACAGAACATTTGATTGGGGACCGGCCAAAGCCTTTACCCACGAGCAGCAAGCAAGCATTGACGGCCACGTCAAACAAAGCCTTCTGTGTATATAGTATGTACCCTCGAGCAAACAAACATTGGTGGCCACGTAGATATGTCAAGAAGAGCTGTAGGTTACCCACACAACATGTGCAGCGCACCCAAGATGGATGAGCGAACAAACAAACAAACACACGTACGTGGCCCTGCTTTTACTATTCGCGCTACTAATGAGACTCGTCTCCATTGATTGCTGCTGCTTTGGTTTTAGGGTATTCGATACCGCGACTGCTACTACTGAAGTAGCGTTTCAACTTCCGCGGGTGCGTCGCTGAATCTATCTCTCGTTGGGTGCTTCCCAGGCACACGCGCGCGCACGGTGTGTACGCCTTCCTACCCCCGAAATTATCGGCCCGTTTCGTTCATCTTGCAACCAATTCGCGTCAGATTTACTTGCACTACAGTCAATCGCAGCAACCACCAGATAGATGCAACGGTTACCAGTCGCTTTTGTACCTCCCGTCGGCGTCGCCAATGCTGCTACTCTTCCACCACATTCAGCATAGTTTTGCTTTTGGGCGGGAGAGTTTATGCCCAGGGTTTGAAAACGCCGTCGCACCCAAGCAAATAAATGCGGTCCCGATGACGCCAGCCAGTGGAATGAGATCTCCTCTCCCTCTCCGTGTGCTGTGTAGAACTAGTCCAACCACAGGCGTGCTACCGCTTTGATGTTTGCTGTAATCCCTTAAAAAACTTCTTATCGCCTTGCATGTACGTGCGTACGTACACCATTGTTGAAAGCAAGCCGACGAATGAATATCGCTGGCGCCGCGAGTCCCAAGCTGGCCATTTTTTGCTTTTCGTCTTATCGCCGTTCATGTACACCATGCAGCCCCGGGGCCCAACACAAGCGCCAGACCGGCTCAATCAATCACACACTTAACTTGGGACACAAGATAGACAGACGCGGGAGAACTCTTGCATATAGCTATTTCCACATGACGTCATAACATCGCGTCTGTCTCCCAATGCCAAAAAACCATATGGCAGTAGCGCACCATCACACGCCTACCTCCAGATACCCACTACACGGGGGAGGATGTGTGAAAACACCTACTCCTTCCCCTGAGCGGGCAAATACTCAGGCTGCTCTGTGTCTAACCTACCGCAAGAAAAGGGGGACGCAAAAAGTGCAACCACAAAGCGCTCGAAACCAAGACCAGGACTCGAAAACCTAAACCAAGCATGAGTATTCCATCCTATCACATACTCTCGCAGTGGCACACACACACATATGAACTGGTTGTTCCTACCCTATGGGAGCGGCCACGTAACCCCCCCCTACATCCGACGCTTCTAACATTGGCACTCTATTCCGCGTAAGACTACCGCCGTGTCAAGCCCAACTAAAAAATCTGCGAAACGCTACACAACATACCTCTCGGGAAGTACAGCACAAAACAGAGCAGTGGCGGCCAACAGCGTCGGGGAGGGGGGGGGGGGGGGGGGACCCCTAATCCGTGCTCGCCGCATTCCTTTGACCCTTTGCCCCCCCTCCCTTCCAAGCCCGGACGGAACCCCCCGGGTTCTCCCCGGACCACGGTCTTTTATTTCCAAACGCGAAACCCCCTGGGGTTTTTTGCGAGTCCCATGAAGGGTGACC